ATAACTGCATTGCCAGAAGCACAAGCAACACAGATTTGCCCTTAACTGTGACTCAGTAGTCGCTAATATGTTTTAATAGGTAAGAATTCCAGTACTTCCAGGTATTACTTTTAAGTTACTGAGAGAAAATCCCTCAAATATTATTTATATATCACTGGACACCTTGGATTACTGTTACTGCAAGAAAGAGGAAAAAATGAAAGTGCATTGTCATGTGCTTGCTGTTAAATGATCTTGCTGAAATGACCCGGTAAAGATAAACATTTATTAGACTTATTAATAATGTGCTGTGTTTTATTTTTTGATATTCCAGAGGAGCCTACCATAATAGTTTACTGACTTCTACTACGATAACAAACTTTTTCTTTTGTTTTCAGTTGCTGATTTTGAGTGTCTTAGGTAGCTCACTATTTTCAGTGTGTTAAAACCACAGTTTAACATGCCCACTTTAACGTCTTCGGCTCTCCACAAGTTAATCATTGCACTGCTTAAACGAAAATACTCAGGACGGAGGGTTACTTACAATTTTGTAAATTTTATTAACCAAAATACTACATGAAGAGAAATAAATTAAAAACATTGAAATGAAATGGCTATGGTAATCTGTTTAACAAGTGAACTAAGGCAAAACAATAAATATAAGAAATCAACCCCAAAATAGCAAAATATTTTAGTTTAAATTGTAATGTAAAAAAGTTAAATCTGATTCCATTCTGTATTTATCCTCTAAGAGAATCAGCACTTTGTATATATTACTAATATGAACCATTAATTTAAGATACCCTGAAATTACAGTTCAGTTGGAAAGTTCTGGAAGGTCAACCAACGTTTCAACCAGAAGTAATTATATAACAAAAGAACAGAATTTAAACAAATTTCGTTATTTTGCTGAAATTAAAAACTCATGGTACCACTGTCACACCGTAAGTCAGGTGTCTGCCCTAGTCAGATGTGGCGAACAAAGCATGGAAAGCAACAAAGCCTGTTCTGTAACAGCAAAAACTGACAGTGGTCACAGGCTCACTCCTCTGTTCACTGGAAAACAAACTTGTTATGCTGAATTTTCATCATGCTTAGCTAGTACATGGGCTATGAAAAATCATATCAAGCAGTGATTTATTGTGAGGGCAACCCTAGTGTCTGGGTCTCCAAAAGGTACGAAGAATCACAACATAAAATAAAAAGAAACGGCTTCATTTTGCGAAGTGAGTATTTTTGCATCATCACGTTGATATCGAGGAAAGGGAAAAAGTGCTTAGTGATTTGCAGCATTGCACTGCAGTCAAATAGCAAAACTCTAACAAAATATTAATTTATTGCAATATATTATTTTGTAATATATTATTTTAATGAGGCCTGAACCTCAAAGTGCTCCAAGATAAATTAATTCCTGACTCCTTGTGCCATTGTAACCTCTGAAAAAATCTAACAAGACAAAGTAATCTAAAAAACCTGTTATGTTTCTGTCTGAAGATGTTTTATCCAGCAACACAAGTAACATGAACGCCATAAATATTTTCTCTCTTTTTTTCTCTGTTTGGTTGCCTGTGCGTGTGACAATGCTTCATGGTTTTTACGTGGGTGCAGGTTTACAATCTCCCCCATGGGGAAAGTACAACAGGAACCTACAGTAGTAAAACTGGTGTGTGCTGGCACGGCACTGAAAAGCGCTTTACACGAGGAGTGATTTTCTTCAGTCAGTTATCTTAATATGAGTAAAAACTCCACTCACATAGACATTATTCAGCATCTTTCTGAAAATTTTAGTCAGCTGCTCTATACAGTGGGTAAGTGCTTAAAACTGACCTAAAGATGTCACCTTGTTCTGAGAAGCTGACCCTGGGTGAAGAGGAAACGTGTCAGACTCAAGCTGTGACCTTTGTGCTGTCCCTTTCCCTTTCATAACTACCCTGAAGGAGGTGGCTGCTGTGAGCTGTGCTCTCCTCACTCCTGATCCATGTTCTGGACCACACTGCTCAATGAAGCAATCTCTGAAGAATTTCCTTTTGCATGTTAAGGAAAGGAGGCATTAAAAGATTTCCTGATTAAATTAAGCCAGCTTCCCTGCAAGTGAGGGAATACAGGACAAATTTTGTTTCTGAGGAAGGGAAAACTGAAAAGACTGAATGTTTATTCCCTAGGGAGGGTTATGACACAGGGTAATAAAATGCTGCACATGTCTAAAAAAGTATCTGCCCTGAGTTCAGACAAAAAAAAAAATTCAGAGTACAATGACTGAAAATTAACTTTTTTTACTCTTAGACAGAATAAAACCAAAACATTAGGAAAGAAAATTCTTGAGAATAAAAATGGGTTTTCCAGTTTCCAACCAAGATGCTAACTGTCATCTTATCAGACTCCCCAAAAGACACACCAAATCGGCCACAGCACAGAACAGACTACTCCCAGCTTCCTCCAGACCACAAACGCTGTGATGCAGTGCTACCTCTTACTCTGAGAAGATGGTGTTTGGATTGAGACGCTGCACACGCCGCTTGGATTTGCCGTCTCTGTATCAGCACTCCTTCCTCCTCAGCACCGTGGAAAAGGTGCTGAGGAGTTACAGTTTGCGTGCCCTCTGCTACTCTGTGGCGCCATGTTACTCCGTGAAATGTGCTTCTCTGGGCTTACTGTGTCAGCCCTAGCAGCCTGAACCTCTCCGCTGGAGGAGTGGCAAAGTAGGCTTTTTGCTCCTCCGAGTATCTTTCCTTCACTTCAATTATGTCCCTGTAGCGGCCGTCCTGCCAGTGGAAATTGAACTGGTCCAGCAACTCAATCCTTTTTCCCTCTGTGCTCACACAGTCAACAGGGGCACGCTGTTCCAGGAACGGTACTTGAATATCTGGGAACACGAGGAGACCCCGGATAGCAAACCAACCTCCATACTTGGGATGGATACATACGCCATAGATCTTCTGGAAGAAATTAAAAAAAAGTATCTAGGATGTCTCATTTCATCTCTAGTAATGGTTAGAGTTCAAAGCATCAAGCTTTGATGTGACTCCTCACACTCCTAGCCCTCTGCTGGAGAGCTGTATAGAGAAGAAAGGAAAGCTCTTTCCTGAACATGTGGCTCGGAGCATTAAATTTAATTCCCATTCTCCTGTGCCCACACACACCACTCTGTAATATGAAGAGAGGTCCCTTTTTGAAAATCTAACACAGAAATTAACCACAGTGCAATTTTCTTTTTCTAATGCTCCTAGCAACAGATCTTTTACACTGAAGCTTATTCTCCTGTCTAAGTAGGTTTAATAGATCAAGGTATTCTCCATGTATGTATCACCCTACCACCCCGAAGAATCTTGAAAGCTTCTGATTCCTGTCTGAAACACTTTATGCATCTGTATGTGATCTCTACTTTGTACTTTTCTGCAAGAAGAACTAGTGAGCAAACACTAGTTGTACAATTCAGTGATTGCAGTTTGGTGGTTCTTCCCAGATCACGTTTTTGCCTCACCTTTTTCCCCCAAGGATCAAGCTTCACATCCTTCCTTTGGTAGTAAAACGCAGCTCCAGCAACATGGGCAGCTGTCTGCGCCAAGAACTTGGGTTTTCGGCTTGGCAGGATCTCGTAGTCAAAGATGACGTCCACCTTCTGGTCAGGGAATTTCTGGGAAAATTAAAAAAACAGTAGCCCACACTCAGGGAAAAGATTTGCCGCTACAGAAGTGCTGGATGCTAGCAAATCAGGCACGTGTGAAGCCTGCAGATTTCCACACCCTGCTACTGAAATCTATCAGCAATGCCTGTGGCCTTGGATTTTCAAACCAGGACTGCAAAGCACTCCACATAGCTCCAGGCTGTAAGGGCAAAGAGACAGAATGTGCAAGGGAAGCAGGTCAGCAGCCTGTGGATGCTCTTAGTGAGAATTAACTTAATGAATAATGCTTTGCCCTTCTAAAGAGCAACGGGAAGGCTTTGTTTACGGCTCAACACACCTGGTTACATGCCACAATAGTACAAGGAATCAGTGTTTCAGACTCTTACCTCCTTCACGCGTGACAAATGATGAGAAACACACTGATCCACGGGATCTCGGATTATTTTTAGCCGTTCTTTGTTCACAAAAGGTTTAAGGGCTTTGTCAAACATTGAAGGCGTGCTGAGGACTACGAAGGCCAGCGTGTCATCTGGGTAGGGGAGATGAAAGGCTGGCTGGAGAACGGCATTGTACCATCCAACCTGCGGCAAAGAAGAACAAATCTCCATTAAAACAGGGACACCACTCTTTTGCTAGGGGGCATGCAGGAATTTTAAAAAGTGTAGCCACCTTCATTTCCAACCCAGCTATGCAGCCTGCTTGTGCCTCCCATTCAAACCAAGTTGTTTTGCATACTGGGATTTACAGTTTCTGGAAGCTGTACCTTGATGTGAGAGATAAGAATCACCTACTGCATTCAGCTCAAGGCTGCCCTTTATCCAGCTCTGCCCTGCTCGGAAACCGTAGAAGGAAGTACAAGGAAGTACGAGCACCAACAACCAGTCTGGCCAATGCAAATCAGGTGTTTTGGTTTAGATAAAGCTTTTACAGGATTTTTTTCTCAGCTTTGGCCAGAAAGAAGCTGGTACTTCTGTTTTGCTCATGTGACAAGTTGCATGGTTTATTTCTTCAG